TTCTGATTTTGTGCTCCGTGGCTCTATCACTTGCCAGAAGTGGCCCACAGAGGCCCCCTCCCCCGCCATCTATCCTCCCGAATATCGCCTTGGATTCACTTCTCCCCACGTCCTACCTTCCAGAAAGTGGTCGCTTTCCTGTTCAGAGAGTTGTTGCTATTCTTTTCTTCAATCTCCTGTTGAGTTCATAGGTGTTCAGAATGGTTTGTTCCCTATCCAGCTGAATTCCTGAGAGCAGATGAAATCCAGGTCTCTTACTCCTCCACCATCTTGCTCCTCCCCCTATTTATTTATTTATTTGAGAGACAGAGAGAGCAAGAGCACCAGTGAGTTGGTAGGGGGAGGGAGATAAGCAGACTCTGTGCTAAGCACAGAGCCCAAGGCTGGTGATCCCAAGACCTTGAGATCATGACCTGAGCCAAAACTGAGAGTCAGACACTCAACTGCCTGAGCCACCTGAGCTACTCAGGTGCCATAGCTCGACATTTTCATACATCAGTGTGAATTTATCATTAAATCAAAGAGAAATTTTAAAGTCACTTGGTCTACTCCCATAATAATTTAACCTTTTTTCACTTTTCTCTTTAAGGTAACAAGTCACATATTAGAACCCTTATGTTAAAAGGGCTTCGCCCATCTCGACTAACAAGAAATGGATTTACAGCCTTGCACTTGGCAGTTTACAAGGTACAATATTTTTGTTCCCATAATACTGTATTACAACTTAAGATGATGTGCATCTTCAGACTGCTGCTGCCCTTCTTCCTCCTCTCCTCCTCCTCTTCTTCTTCTTTGTGTGTGTGTGTGTATGTGTGTGTGTGGCAAATTGGTAATCATGAAAAACATTCAGAGTGACCAGAGCATTACATTACTACATGAAGCTCTTTCTCTATATTGACCTGGTATTATCTATATACCAGACACATACTCTTTGTAACACTTACCATGTTTAACTCATTTAAGTCTCACAAGAAACCTGTAAGTGAATACTATTATTGTCCCCAAGATTACATGGTTAGTCAGTGGGTTAGCCAGGATTTAGGAGCTGGCCATCTGGTCCCCTTGCCAGAGCTTCTCACCAGGAGACCAAGCTGCCTCTGTGCAGTAGAGAATGAGATTGCCTTTGAGGATGAAAGAAGGACATTGAAGCTACATTTCTTTTTCTGCACATTTTCCTTAATTAAAAATATCTCTAGAGGCACCTGGGTGGCTCAGTTGGTTAAGCATCTGACTCTTGATTTTGGCTCAGGTCATGATCTTAGGATCATGAGAGCAAGCCCTGTATGGGGCTCCACACTGGGTATGGAGTCTGTTTAAGATTCTCTCTCTCCCTCTCTCTCTGCCCCTCCCCCCCACCCCACACGCAGGCACTCATGCAACATTCTCTCTCTCTCTCAAATAAATAAATAAAATCTTAAAAAAAATACTTCTAGAGTTCCCTTTAGTTTCCTTCTTTTATTTTTCCTACTTTTTCTTCAGTTTATTTCCTTGCATCAGTCCCTCCCAACTAATCTCAGTACCTGATCAGAAAGTAAATATAAAAGTGGGTTTGAAAAACTGGGATACTCAGTATTGGCATAGATCCTTGAGATTGTCATAAATATAAATTTATAGAATATATAAAATAAATATAAATTGTTCATTCTCTAATCATAATAAGTTTTTACTTACTCTGTACTTATGAGTTAAGTATTATACTAGGTTTTATATACATTATTTCTTTAACTATTAATATAACTTAGTGAGATGCATAATAGGGTTTATTTTATAGAAAAGGAAACTGAAGGTTAAAGTTAGCTATCTAGTGAATGTCAGAATAGTGATTGTCAAGTGCAGTTGGCTCATACTCTCAGATTCTCATTGTTATATTGCATATTTTGTTCTTTCTCAGTTTCATGTGAATCTGTGACAGGATTTCATTTCAGTTTTGTATGTGCAGGACCTGGGAGTGGGGCAGCTGTTGCTCATATCAGGATCACTTCACACTACAGTCCCTCCCCCAAACTTTAGAGTTTATCATGGTTAGGGGAAGAGAGCCATATTTTCCCACAATTCAGATTCACATATTCCTGTGATTCATAGTACAAATGCTCTAATATTCATCCTTTTTTGCGCCCAGCCAATTCCTAGTCAGTTTTATTTTGTTTTTTGTTTTTTGTTTTTTCTTGGAGAAAGTGTCAGTTATTTGCTAAATTGTCTTAATCATCCTGTGAAACTTGAATTGAGGCTGAATTCAGGATGTGGGAAACTGTGTCTGATGCTGGCTTTTCTGCTGAATAGCAGGAGGTGAGAGTAGAAGAGCTCCAAAGAATAGGAAGTGAGTTAAGGCAGTATGTGAAACTATGAATTCTGAATCTGACTGGGAGATTCCTTTCTGTATTAGTTTGTTTTCCTAACACTTAGTATGACACAACCATAGAAATGCATTCTGAATGATTTAGTGCTACAATCTTTACAGAATTTCTTCTACTTCTCTTTATCAAAACTAAATTTCCATATTTAGAATTCCCTTTGCTCTATTTCTTCTGTTTTCATATATTTTACAGAAGGATATATGGACTAGCTTGTTTTTAGCAAGTTTAAACAAATTTAGAGTCTTAGGACATAAGGTAGGCAAAAATTTTGAAAGGCTATAATTGAGTGCATGATTATTCCACCTATGCCTTAACAAAGGCAAAAACAAATTAAATTTACAATTTCCTTTAAAACACAGAAAGAATATAAAGTAGCCATTCATACTACCATTGCATTAAATCTAGTTCTAATTATCCATTCCCTGACCTGCCTAAGAAAAAGAAAATCCACTTACATCATCACAATACAATGATCAAAATCAGAAAATTTAATATTGATGCAATACTATTATCTAATCTATAGTCCAAATTCAAATTTGGTTAGTTATCTTATTAGTGTCATTTATGAAAAGCTGTTTATTTTTTTCTTGTTTAGGATTGATTCCAGAATCATTCATTTTTAGTTTTCTTGTCTCTGAATCTCTTTTATCTGAAAGAAATGTCCTTGCCTTTATTTCCTTTCCTTTCCTTTCCTTTCTTGATTTTAATATTTTGGTGCATACAGAACAGTTACTTATATATATTTATTTGGATTTTTATAAATATTGCAAGTGAACTTTATTTTTTCTTACCACTCACAAAATGAGTCACATCAGTTTTTATTGGTCACATCAGCAGCTCATTTAATCATACACCCTGGCATGCTGGTTAGCACTCCTCTTACTTGTTTTGTTTGTTATTGCTTTGTTTTTGCTCAGTTTTTTTAATAGGGGCTAGATTTATTGAGGTATAATTTGTGCACAATAAAATTCACAATTTTAAGTGGACAATTTGATGACTTTTAAAAATGTATATAGTCGTATACTATCATCACAGTCATGATATAGGACTTTTCTATCATATAAAAAAGTTCCCTCATACCTTTTTTGCAGTCAATTTCCTCCTCTATCCCCCTGACCTCTGGAAACCACTATGTGTTTTCTATCAGTATAATTGTTCCCTTTCTAGAATTTACCTATATGCAATCCATTCAGTATGTTTTCTTTTATATATGGTTTCTATCAGTTATCATAATACTATTGTGTGTTCAGTAATTCATTTATTTTATTGTGAATCTATATTCCTTTCTATGGATATAGTACCATTTGTTTAACAATATACTTGTTATGGACGTATGGGTTGTTTCCAGATTTTGGCTGTTATAAATAAAGCTGCTATTAATATTCATGTACAGATCTTTGTTTGAACATTTGTTTTTATTTCTCTTGGGCAATGCGTAGGAATGGAATTGATGGGTCGTATCATAAGTGCATGTTTATTTTATAAGAAATGCCAAACCCTTTACCAAATTGGCTATATCATCTTCCATTTCCATCAGCAATGTATTTGTTTCTAGTGATTATGTTATATACTCTTGCCAACACTTGTCAATATTTTTTACTTTAGCCTTTCTATTGAATATATATTAATATTTCATGATTAATGTGCATATCTCTAGTGACTAATGAAGTTGAATCAATTTTCGTGTGCTTATTTGTCATTTTTTTTTTTTTTTGCTGTAGTGTCTGTTCAAATCTTTATCCCATTTTTAAATTTGGTTTATTGTTTTCTTGAATTATAAGAAAAGATCTCTATGTATTTGGATATGGGTCTTTTGTTGGATATACATTTTGAAAAATTTTCCCCAGTCTGTGGCTTGCCTTTTCATTTTCTTTTTTTTTTTTTTTGCCTTTTCATTTTCTTGTAGCAAAACTTGTATGCATTATTTGTTAACTGATTAGTGATTACACTATGGATCCTCAATAAACACATGCACTGTCTATTAATATCAGTCTACTTCACTTTAAATGTAAGAACCATCCATAGTATAGTTCCACTTTATCTTCATTCTTTATACTATTGTTGCCATATACATTATATCTATACATGTTATAAATTCCAATATATGGTTAGAATTTTTCTAATAAACACTTCATATCTTTTAGAGAAAATATCTTTAATTTTCAGCAGATTGGTTATAATAATCCTATGTATGATTTTCTCTGGACAATGCTTTTTAGAGTCCATTGAGCTTCTTAAATCTGTAAGTTTATGCTTTCATCAAGTTCAGAAATTTTGATCTCTATTTTTTTAAATATATATGTTAAAATGGTAATCTTTCACAGGTTACTGAGTTTCTGTTCATTTTCTTCTATCTTCTTTCTCTCTGTTTTAAATTTTGATTATTTCTAATTACTTGAATTCAAGTTCAAAAACGATTTCTCTGCCATCTCCCATCTGATGATAATCTGCTAAGAGTTATTCATTTCAGATACTATACTTTTCAGTTCTGGGATTTCCCTTGATGTTAAAATATAATTTCAATTTCTCTTCTATGATTACCCATCTGTTCCTTTATTTTTCCATATTTCCCTTTAAATTCTTGATTCTATCATTAATGACTGTTTTAAATGCCTTATCTGTTGTTTCTAACATCTGGATTACCTCAGTGTTTATTTCTATTGAGTGTTTTTTCTCTTGAGTTCATATTACATTTTCCAGTTTTTTCACATTTTTATTAATTTTTATCACATGTTAGACATTATGTATTATTTGTTACAATAAATCATCATGTCATCTTCCTTTAAAGGGTGTGGGGTTTTATTTTGTTTTTGTTTTTTTTTGGAAGGCAGTTACATTTCACCCAGTCAATCTTGATTTGACTTTTTGTTAGGGTGGGTCTATTTGAGTTTCAGACTTAGCCTAATAGCATACCTCTTACTCTAGGATGTGGTCCTTACTCCTGAATATGGTTCTTACTCCTAAGATGTGGATTTTTGATATCTTACCTGAATACCCAAGTCACTTAATAAAGTCTCCATTCTGGTTTCTGGAACTCCAAAATTTCCTATTACTACATGATCTCTTCCATCATTACCATATACTTTTCAGCCATTAATTGGTGATCTTACCTACTACAGAGTTTTTCTCTGTTTCTGTGCAGCCCAACTCAAAAATCTATAGTGAATCTCAATGCAGATATCTGCAGTCCTCTCTTTGTGCAGCTTCTTCTTCTGTTCCAGTTACCCTGCTTGACAAATTACAATCATTTTATAATCCCAGAAATTTAATCTTGATTGTCAACTCATTATGATTGCCCTTTCACTTTCTCTTCTGTGACAGAGAAATATCTCA